CCCATCATATCTGTTCACTTGTCTTAACAAGTTCAAGGAACTGCTGTGATTGTTGTGTCTTCTTCCCCCTCCACCACTCTTTATTTGATTATGTGTTTGTTTATTTTTAGCTCCCACATTTTAAATTCCACATTAATGAGTGTGTATTCAGCATTTATTTTACAAAAGAGGGCCTTTCAAAATATCTAGTCCACCATACCCACCAAAGCCAACATCCCTTTTATTTACTTTCAGTAATGTTTCCTATTACTTATACTAATTTCATTATTCCTAGAACCCACTTACTTTTGTCAATTCAACTGGTTACTATGTGTTTGGTTATGAAGAAACAACAGCACTTTACCAGGGAATCTGATTATGAAATGAAGGATTTGCCACACCACTTCCCCTTGTTAATGGTTGGCCTATTGTTTCTGTCTTGTACAGTGAGGTGCCTTGTGTACTAGGGTCTACCATATCAGTGCAGAATGAGAAATATGCATGTCTTTAGTTGATTATAATTAAATGAACATTAGATATACATGCTGAACAAACGCACCAAGAAAATGACTTCAAGAAAAAGTTAACCCAGCCCTACTATATTCAAAATATCCCTAAACATATTCTGTAGGTATAACGATAAGAATCTCTAACTTTTAAATATGTAGCTATATGCTGTTATAGTACAGCATGAAAATGGTAAGATTCAATAAATAACTGTAGTAAATGTTTATATACAGCACATTGCTTAGTCAAGGAAATATGTTTCACCATCCACAATATGTTCAGACCACCTGCAATTTAAAAATAATCTTTTAAATAACCTACTCCCTTTCAATGAATATATTAACCAATTTTCTTTAGCCAAGTGAAAGAAAAGACCTTATGCTATAGACGAGTGTTTTCTGAATAGATTTAAAGCAATTAAATATAAATTCAAATGAAAATTTGGAAAGAGAGGTAAAATTTGTGTTAGCTGCAAGTTTTATGCCAATCTAAGGAGTAAAGACCATCTCCAGCATGAAGTAAAATCAGATGGCAGCCTAGATGAAGAACTCAGAAGATCCCAGCTCCTGAATCCAAACTTCACTAAGTCATTTCCCCATTCTGTCTACTATGTTAAGTTCCTAGAGGAAAAAAGGTACTATTTTTCTAATAAAAGTTTAAAACATCTTTTCAAGACTACTATGAATTACTCACTATTTTGAATTATTTGCCCACTATATGCATTCTCACAGTCAACCATAATAAGGTAGTTCTTATAAACTAGAGTTGAATGACTCAATAACATTCACATTCAGGGTTAAGAATAAGTTATGAGCTTTCTGGACTATGGTTAAAAGTTATTAGCAAAAATATCACATAGGAAGCAGTATACTTTCAAAATATTCTGATTATTTATTTTTAATTTAGATAGCCAGAAGTTTAATCCTAGTTCTCTCACTTACTAATTCTGTAATCTCCAACAAAGTACTTTATTATATGAACTTTTTTTTTAAAATCTGAAATAGGGAGAGTAACAGTAGCTATATCATAGGGACACTATGAGAACTAAAAGAAATAATGTAAATAATATGCTTAACATAATTCTTGACATATAGTAAGGGCTCAAAAAATCATAACAGTAGTTGCTGTTTTCACTAGTATTACTACTTTGATAAGGATGGTGGTGATTTTTGTTTTTTTTTTTTGACCAGTAAGGGGATCGCAACCCCCCGTACGGTGTGGTCTGCACCACACTCAGCCAGTGAGCACACCGGCCATCCCTACATAGGATCCGAACCTGCAGCCTCAGCGCTAACAGCACCGCACTCACCCCTGTGAGCCACGGGGCCAACCCAGGATGGTGGTGATTTTGGGAGACATGATTTAAAGCAATCTACTTGGCAAAAATTGCATATAGCTGGGTTTTAATTAGTTCTCAATTCCTACAACTAATGACAAAAGTAAGGCAAAACATAGCAGTATCTCAGTGCCTACACTTATTTTCTGAAGTAGTTGTTGTAATGCACACAAGATGTCTGAGATCTATATTACCTTATCAAGCACTGTGTATGGATTTTCTGCATTAAATCCCAGAGGGGCAGAGCATCTGAATCTCTCTCTGAACTCTGCCTGCTTTCCCTGGTCAGGGCAGAAAAAATAGAAAGTGAATCTCAAATAGATTCAATTATCCTTGTAAAACATTTCTTAAAGCAAAAAAACTTGGTGACTAGCTTACCTCAAACAAAATACATTTTTTCCTTATTAGAGTGACTTCTGCATTTTGGAGAGGTGAAACTTGATGTCTGACAGTTGCTGTGATCTTTTTGGTAGTTTCCCATTTTTCAGGTAATTCCTACAAAAACAAAGGTGCAAATGGAAAATTACTTCGGTTCTTAAAACAAATGAACCTCATAGGATTAAATAATTCTAATTTCTTCACACTAACCCATGACACCTTTTTCATTCTTATAGAAGGAGTTTCTCCCCCCAAAAGGTGATGGAGATTAAAAGGCTCAGAGCCACAGCTGAAGTACAGGCTGACCCACTGGCACTTCTGGGTTCAGATCTTCCAAGCATGTCCCAGAGTTGTTCTTATCTCAGAATAAATGGAAATCTTTTCAAAATAAACACAAATTTCCAAATTGTTTTGCTGCTGCAGGAATAAAATTAAAGTGCTCAGGAAATGATTTTGCTGACCTATACCAACTAGAAATGGAAGCCAGCCACATTTAGCAATTTAGCAAGTGAAAAAAATATGCTTTGAATCTGGTGGGGCAAAGAGGAAAATGTGAACCCATCTTATCCTCTGCATTCCTCTAGCTCCAAAGCTCTGTACTCTTTCTTGACAGAGATCTCGAGCATTGAGGTTGGGCTTATTTTACCTAACTAGGATTTTTGAAGGGAGAAGAAACACAGGGAAGAGAAGGTTAATTTCCTACTTGACGTAGAATAGAAGCAGGTGCCAACTCGACTCTGCTCTCCCTGCCTCCTATGCAAATAGGACGAAAGTGATTATTCCCATTGAAAAGCATTCCTTGTGTCCAGACTAACAAAGCATTGTTTCTCTGGGTCATCTCCTGGGACACTGAAATTGTTTTGTCATACAAAACCACCCGTAGTGATGGACTCTTCTTGTGCAGCTGAAGTGCAAAAATCAAAGGTTCTAAAAACTATTTTGTAACCCTTAATAAATATTTGACAAAAGTTTCAGCAACTGCCAATTATGAAGAGTGCACCATACACTCTTCAAATACAAATACTACTATACACAGTATTTGCGTGTGGTGGAGGGGTGCTGCAAAGGTGAAATGCATTCCTTAAGTTGTTTTGTAATCTGTCCAAGTGAGTGAGAGGCACACACAATAACTACTTCACATGACAGAACATGTTAATTTCCACCAGGAGGTCTATATATGATGGAATCACCATACTTGGAAGGCAACATGGTGTCTTGACAGCAACATCAAACCAGCTCAGGAACAAGAGACCTGGGCTCTACACCCCCTTGTCCTTCCATCTCGTGCTTCCTCTCATCAAAACTCTGCATCCTTATCTGTACAGATGGAGTCTCACTTTGCATTTCCCATTCCATTCCATGGACTAAATATTACCTGGAGTCCCTTCAGAGGCATGGCTGGGAAGGCAGGGAAGTCACACCTACGGGCTCAGGCCCCTTAACCCTTTTCCAACACAGATCTGCTTTATATTTGAGGGTTCCAAAAAAGCTTCCACTTGATAAAAATACATTTTCTTGAAAACCAAAAGATCAGATGATCTCCAGTGGTGTCGTCTTTAACTGATAGGATACACCCGAGGAGGAGATAACACTGAATCTGAGGCTGAAAGGAATGAGTAGGTATCACCAGGCAGAGATCAGGCTGAGATCCTTTGTGACCTTGTGAGGTATGACCACCAATATAGGATGAGGTGAGGGGGTGAGCTCTATGAAAACTGGACAGTACTCAGGAGGCTAGGGGCAGTCCATGAAGGTTTTTGAGTGAGGAAGGGACTTGATGCAACCTGTAGACTGAATGTCGCTTCAGAGTATATTGTAGATGAGTTCTGAGGAAGAACAAAGGGAACTAAGCAGCTAGTGCTGTGGTTGAGGTAAGAAGTAATGAGAACTGAATTAAAATGGGTATAAAAGAAATGCAAAGGAGTCAGCAGACCGAAGAGATGCTGCAGCAAGAGCCTGTCCTGCTGGGGGTAAATCCCCATGACACCAAGGAAGCAGCCCTTGAACTCTGAGCAGGCACAGCCACATCTAAGGGGTTTTCAGCACAGAACTAAGCATAGACAAGTATTTGAAAAATGTTACAACTGCTCATGACAATGAAGGAGAAACTGAAAGGATCTATCACAATTGCTTTAATTAAAATAAAATTGGGACCCTGTTATGCTCTACATGCAACCTGCACTGCCTATAAACCTTATTTTTCCTCCTGAGCAGCCTAAATCACCAACATTGTGACATACACATCACTAAATGTGTGTCCTGCTTTTGAAATATGGAAAAGCCTAATATTTCAATACTATCATAACCTAAAAGTGTGAGGCAAACTTTTATAATATCTGGAGGCCATGGCTGAAAATCCCCCCTCGTCAATTACTGGTGTTATGACTGGTTTCTCTATGAGATATATTTTAAGGTCCAAGATCTGACTCCAAGAATGTCCAAAGCTTTCTAAAAACAAGAAATATTTATAGTTCGTTCTACTGTAACTATTTCATCTCATGGTCTTGTTATACATCTATCTGTCCATGGCTTGTCATCTCACTCCATGTCTAACTGAACTGTCAGCTCTAAGGACAGCTTGATACTTAAATAGAATTTAATAATTCACATACAGCAATTCTTTATAGCCAAGAGAGCACTTGTAAGTACACTTTTGCATTTAATCCTCACAAAAAAAATGAAGGATATAAAATGGTGTGGCCACTGTGAAAAAGTTTGGCAACTCTTCAAAAATATAAATATAGGATTACAGTATGACTCAGCAAGTCTAGTCTTAAGTATATACTCAAAAGAACTGAAAACAGGTACTCAAACACTTACACACCAATGTTCATAGCAGCATGATTCACAATAGTCAAAAGACATAAACAAACCAAATGTCCATCAATAGATGAATGGATAAGCAAATTGTGGTACAAACATAAAATGGACTATTATTCAGCCATAAAAAGGAATGAAATACTGATACACACCACAATATAAATGAACCTTGAAAACATTATGTCAAAGTGAAAGAAGTTTAACACAACAGGTCACATATTGTATGACTCCATTTATATGAAATATCCAGAATAAGTAAACCCACAGAGACAGAAAAAGATTGGTGGCTGCCAAGGGTTGGTGGCAGGGCTTGGTGAGGGCTGAGGAGGAGCGGGGAGTGGCAGCTAATGGGTATGGGGTTTCTTTTCCAGCTGATGAGAAGCTTGTGGAACTAGGTAGAGGTGGTGGTTGCACAAAATGGTGAATGTACTAAATGCCACTGAACTGTACACTTTAAGATGAGTACTTTTATGTTACCTGAATTGTGAATTTCACTTTAAAAAAAAAAAGAAAAAGCATAGAAAGAAATTAGACATATTAAGTATAGACAAATTAAAAAAAAGGAGAGGGGGTGTCATGAAGGATATTTTACCAAAATGGAAGCATGTTTTGAGATGTTAACTTGCCAAGGCAAGCAGAAGAGATGGACTCATACAGTACTTGAAAAGAAATCTAAATGTGAGTTCTGTGCTCTGACCACTAGACTAGATGAACTAGAATCCAATGAAAGGTTTTTAGCTAATGTGCTCACCAATCACATTTGCAAGGTTCAATATAAGTGCAGCCTGGAAGCCAATGGGTGAAAAAGGTGTGTATATATATATACTCAAGCAACTCAGAGGCTCTCTCCCACCTAAACACCTTATAACAAGAAGGCAGTGGAGCACGGTGGTTAAAAGTGAGTATTTTGTCATGAAACACACCTAGAGTCAAGAGTTGGTCAGCTTTACTACTTGTGTGACCTTGACAAAATTATAAAATTTCTTTAGACTTCAGATTCCTAACCTGTAAAATGAAAACATTAATGTCTACAGTATAAAGTGTTTTAAGGACGTCATTAGGGAGCGTATTGTAAAGTACTTAGCTAAGTTTATGGAAATTATTATTTCACCTCTGTACTTACCTCCAGCTGAACATAGACTTGCTCAGGCATCTTCTGCCCATAGTTTTCCAAGAGTGTGATGGTTTCTTTTAGAGGGTCAAAGAGTTCATCAGTAGCTCTCTGTCGGCTTCTTACAGCAAGAAGATGCCCCATGATGTCAACTAAACCATCGTGATTGCCTTCACTTAATTCTCTCTGAAGTCCTGTGTCTGTCTCCTTTATAAATTCTTGTAGTTCATTCAAACTATTTAATATATATGTATATATACACACAAATTAAGTTCATTAAAACATTTAGTAGTATGAGATTGAATCTTACTGAACCAGAAATCAGACTGAATCTTATTTTCATTATGTACCTGATTAAACCCTTTTCATTATCTCTATTACAAAATTGGCAGCATTAATGCTCATTTTACAAAGCAATCAGTGTTGAAAGCTGTAATTCCAAAAACCGAAGTGCAAAGGCTACCTGTTGATGACAAATCTCAAAAGATGCTCCTGAAACATCCAGCTCCATTTCTTAATAATGTGCAGCAAGCTCACTTTGAAAGGCTTCATGTCCACCTTGAACCAACTATCAAACACTCTGAAGTCATCAAACTTGCTCATCTGAACATACAAAGCCTCATAAATGTCGATCTATAATTAGAAAACAAAATAACTATCACAATTCAATGAAAAGCCAATTAGCTGCATCAAATGCTGAGGGTTTTCCTTGCCTGTTCTTTGAATTGTTCAAGAGTTGGCGGCTGTTCAGGAATTTCTTCGTCTGCATGAGCATCCATCTCCTCAGATGACAGAGTATGGCCATACAGGAGAAAATGCTTCATAAACTCAGCTCGGTCATCCACCCAGAGGTAAGCGTAGGTCTCCAGGGTGTTTCTGAAATCGAAGACTTTGTTGATGACGGCCGCCACTCTGTTCATTATCTCCTGCCTGACCTCCGCCAGGCCTAACATGTTGTCCATATCACTCTAAATGAGAGGAAAAACCAAGCACTTATTCTCATTTAAGCGAATCTCACTCTATCAATTATGTGCCACATAACACGCCGCCACTCTGTTCATTATCTCCTGCCTGACCTCCGCCAGGCCTAACATGTTGTCCATATCACTCTAAATGAGAGGGAAAACCAAGCACTTATTCTCATTTAAGCGAATCTCACTCTATCAATTATGTGCCACATAACATTGTCCAAGGCAATTCCTCAAACGGAGAAGAGCTACCAAAATAAAAATTTATGTTGCTTTTTCCAACTTCTCCTTTTGTGTTCCCCATTGCCCCAATTTATTTTTGAACTGTTAACATAAAAGCTAATACTCATTTACAAAGTAAATACCTGATAATTTGCTATTTCCAGATGTGCTGCTACTCGCTTCACCTGGGCAGACATTCTAAAACTACTGCATAACATTTCTTCTAGCAGATCATAGAAGCCATCCCCAGCCTCTCTTTCTAAAGAAGGCTTAAATACAATCTCAGGGGGCATTAACATCATTTGAGCTTGAAAAAATGGTGCAGGTTTCAATTGTTTCTCTGTATTCCTCAGAAAGAAATCTAAGTCATGCATAATAGCCTGAAAAAAGCCTTCCACCACGATGTCATCAATGAATTCTACGTAAATTTTCCAGGTATCCAGAGAAGGATTAGCTTTGAAGAGCTTCCTGTTTTCCTAGAAACAGACAAGTATTAATAGATGAATATAAACAACGAGTATAAAAATGAAAGTCTTTCATTCAAATGGTTAAAAAAGGGACTGCATTTTTGTGCATGATGGAGGAGCATTCAAATGCTAGGCTGCGGAACCTTAAGCTAGGTGGCAAAGATCTAAGAAGGGTTCATAACATTAAGGTCACATATGAAACACATTCAGAAGTCATTCTTTAAAGGAAAAGTCAATGTGAAGATGGACAGGCTGGCTGGTTAGCTCAGTTGTTTAGAATGCAGCCTTATAACACCAAGGTTATAGGTTTGGATCCTCGTACCAGCCAGCTGCCAAAAAAAAAAAAATCCCATTTAAAATGCTATTTTCAAATACAGACAGGAAATATACTAGCTCCCAAGGGATTCTAGATGTGTCGGACTTGGGCTCTAGTTCTTGCTCTGAGCCTAACTCTACATGGCCTTGGACTCTGCCTTCCAGGGCCTTACCTGTAAATGAAAAGATTTCTCAAACTGGTCCTTCAAAGAACACTGTTCTGGGGAAATCCGAAGATCATTAAGTCAGGGGAGTGGTACATACTCTATGCTACTCCTGGAGACTCACAATGTACCTATTATATTAATGTCCATTGAATTTGGTTTAGCCCAGTTGTTTACAAACCCTATTCAAACACAGAGTTTTTTTTGTAAGCCATCTATAAGCAGCCAACGGAATAGTAACTCAGCTTGGGAAACGCTGGGCTGGGGAGTCTAAGAGTCAAAGTTTCCTCTGTACTTAAACCATATGAGCTTCCTCAAAGAAAACAATCAACAGAGTTAAAAAGGACCTACAGAATGGGAGAAAATATTTTCAAACCATGTATGTAATAAGAGCTTAATATCTAAAATATATAAGGAACTCAACTCAATAGCTCAATTAAAAAACAAATAACTCAATTTAAAAAATGGGCAAAGGATATAAATAGACATTTCTCAATAGAAGACATAAAAATGGCCAACAGTTATATGAAAAAATGCTCAACATCACTAATCATCAGAGAAATGCAAATTAAAACCACAAGGAGGAATGGCTATTATCAAAAAGACAAAAAGTAATAAGTGTTGGCAAGATGTAGAGAAAACGGAAAACTTGTGCACAGTTGGTGGGGATGTAAGTTAATACAGCCATTGAGGAAAAGAGCATGGATGTTCCTCAAAAAATTAAAAGTAGAATTACTATGTGATCCAGCAATTCCACTACTGGGTATATATCCAAAGGAAATGAAATCAGTATATCAAAGAGATATCTGCACTCCCATGTTTACTGCAACATTATTCATAATAGCCAAGATCAACCTAAGTGTTCATTAACAGATGAATGAATAGAGAATGCATGGCATATATACGTGCAGTGGAAAACTATTCAGCCATAAAAGAGAAGAAAATCCTGTCATTTGCAACAACGCTGATGAACCTGGAGGTCATTATGTTAAGTGAAATAAACCAGGCACAAAAAGAGCTGGAGAGATGTTGGTCAAAGGTTACAAAATTTCAGTTAGACAGGAAGAACAAGTTCAAGAGATCTGTTGTACCACATGGTGACTGTAGTTAATAACAACATATTCTTGAAAAACACTGAGAGATTTTAAGTGTTCTCACCACAAAAATGACAACTATGTGAGACATATGTTATTTAGTTTGATTTAGCCGTTCAACAATATTTCAAAACATTGTTATACATGATAAATACATATAATTCTGTCTGCCAACTTAAAAAAATAAAATAAAGAAAATATGAGCTGCTCTGCCTCAGCATTTCCCCCAAGCATGGGTGAGATAACGGACAGGTCAGTGGGGCAAATGGGGCCAGAAGACAGAGATGTGGTTAAGGACCGCTCTAGCTTGGGTGCTAGTCCTAGAGACACAGATTTAAGTCAGGTGGGCAGCAAGGTTGATTCTGAAAGATAAACTGGGTGGCAAAGAGTGCATAGTCTATACAGGTCAAACAGCAGATGCCCAAGACAGAAACTACAGCACAGAGAAAAGGAGACACTGGAATGAGAGCTAATTATAAAGTAGATTGTACTCTTCACTTCCTTTGATTATTTTCTCCTGGGGATATATGACCCAGGATGCGAAGATGTATGCTTTATGCAAGATCAGAACCACAGAGGGAGTCTAGATCCTGATAAGGCAGGGCAGAGCTGAGAGAATCCTTTTTTTTTTTTTTTTGCCATAGAACAAATTTAAGAACTGCTCCTCTCAAGGGTGCTGTCTTGCCCACCATCCAGGAGGTACCATTTATATCTATGTAGTCATATGACCTGCACCCTGGGGCTGTGCAGTACACATCTGGAAAGCTGTGCACAGCAGCCCTGGCTCCTTGGTAGGCACTAGAAAGAAAAAAATATAGATCTTAGAGCTGGAAAAGCAAAACAAAACAAAAAACACTTAAAGACCATCTTGTTTAGTCTCCCCATTTTAAAGATATGAAAACGAAGACCCAAAACACATCCACTTGTAGGAAGTTAGCAGCTGAGCTAGGACTAGAAACCAGTGCTCTTAAATTCCCAGGGTAGGGCCTTTTCTGACATGTTACAGTCATATATAATTTTTCAGTTCCGGTTTACATCACTTCAGTAGCATTTATAGGAAATGTATTTCCAACACATTAGGGTAAAGAGAGAAAATTGAAGAGAAAGTGGAGCATTGGGTCACTGAATGATTGCTCAGGTCCTTTTCAGACCCAGTCTTCCGCGGTTCTGCCCCTCTCCCACCTCTTTCCATCTTAAACTCTGACTCCAGACTATTCACCGAGCTCCCACATGCGTCAGAGGATGCAGCTGGAAAAGTCAGAATTGACCCACCCTCTGCCCTATTTCTACAGCTTTCCCTCAGACCACATTCCCCAGCAGAAGCCTGAGAACTAGGTTCAAAGTGATGTGCTAATAAGAGGGGGGGAAATCACCTAAAAGATACAACTTATATATACAACTCATTTAATTTCCCTCCCAAGGTTAGCTTCTATTCCCTCAAGTCAGAAGCTCTCCTCAGTTCTCGTACAGAAAACGCTAATTACAAAGCTTCCTAGCTTTTGCCTTAAGGAAAGAAATAGGAGAGTCCATTTATTAGTAGAAAAATTCCAACCTTATTCTCTGATGCTGCAAAACCTTGTTTTATAACAATTTCTAGGCATGCCTTGTATTGGCCATACTTTCAATGCATTTTAATCAGGATTCATAAATCTCAATGGTTTAAAACCCCTAGAGTTTGGGGATTATATATTTTTTATCATCAAGAAAATGTAACAGAAAAAACTAATTGCCATCTGTCATCTGTCCTCCATGAGACAGATTCTAATGCATAAATTGTTGTCAAGATGTCCTAAAAGTCATAGAATAATTCACAGCTTCCCAGAAACAACTAGCAATAGTCACTGGCATGACTTAATTAATATACTGCTGGAAACAAATTAATTTTGAGATATATACCTTCCTTACATGTCAGAACACCCCTGAGATTCTCTCCCTTCAGAGGAAGCAAGGCCCCACCCACACCTTGATTTCCAACTTCTAGCCTCCGGACTATGAGAGAATCAATTTCTGTCATTTTAAGACACCCTGTTTGTGGTACTTTGTTATTGCTGCCCTAGGATGCTGATGCAAGCAGTAATCAAAGAAGGTAAAGACCAAGTCTTTGTTCTAGCAAATTATTAGGAAGAAAAATTAAAAACTTTTTTAGAAATTTCAGACAACCTCAGAAGTCAACAGAAACTTTGAAACTCATATTAATTTTTTGCTTCTTTTTATTTTCTTTTTTGCGACACACACTTACTATAGCATATCAAGTGAACCACACCCTCTTTTTTGGTAAGAAAATCTGTTACCCTTCAAGTGCTTTCTTCACGTAGCTTCCAGGACACAACCCTCCCAGTTTTCCTCCTACTGCACTGGTTGGTTCTTTTCTGCACCTTTGGCTGGTTGTTCTTCCCCTCCCCTGTCTCCTAATGGGAAAACGGTGCCCCGGCCAATAGTCTTGATTTTTTCTATTCTATTCCAGCTAGACTCATGTTCTCAGTGACCTAATTCAGCCTCCTGGCTTAAATATCATTGTCACCCACGCCCCTTTAATTTGTATTTTAAGTTTGGACCCCTCTCTGAAACTCTAGACTAAAATCCAGTTGCCCACTCAACTCCTCTGCTTGACTAATTGACACCCCAAACTCAAAATGTCTAGAACTCAAATCCTGATCTTCCCTCCTAAGTCTCTTCCTCCCACAGCCTTCCTCAGCCGAATGGAACACGATTTCATCTTCCCAGCTGATCAGGACAAAACATGAAGAATAATCCTCAACACCTCTTTCCTTCACGCTCCACATGCAGTCTGTTCGAAAATTCTGTTTGCTCCACTTAATTCAAAATATATCCAGAATCCAACCCATTATAATCACTTCCACTGCTACCCGCCTTATCCAGGCACTATCATCTGCTACCTAGTGCATGATCTGAATGTTCACGTCCCCCCAAAATTCATATGCTGAAATCCTAACCTCCCAGGTGATGGTGTTAGGAGGTGGAGCCTTTTGGGAGGTGATTAGGTCATGAGGAAAGAGCCTTCATGAATGGGATTAGTTCCTTATAAAATAGGCCCAAGGGAGATTGGTCACCCCTTCCACCATATACAAGGACACAGTGAGAAGTTGGCAGTTTGCAATCCTAAAGAGAAACCTCACCAGAACCTGACCATGCTGGCGCGTTGATCTCCAGAACTACAGAAATAAATTGCTGCTGGTTTTAAGCTCTGCAGTTTTTTTTGTTATTTTTGTTACAGCAGCCAGAATACACTAAGATACCTCGATTACTGCTATAGCAACCCACTAGGTCTCCCGCAGCTTCCCATACCTCCTACAGACAGACTCAACACAACAGCCAGAGATCCTTTCAAAATGAAGGTCAGATCACATTTATTCCTCTCCTCAAAACCCTGCAGCCAGCTCCCTATGTACCTCAGAGTAAAAGCCAGAGTCTGTACAAGGCCTAGAGTCTCCCCTGGGCTGCCTGTGCCCACCCCCACCCTATTAGCACCTGGCCTCACCTGGCTCCCCTCTGCTCAGTTCCCCCTGCTCCCACAGCACCTGCTCCCCTGCTCTTCCGTGTATATGTCTGGCTGCCTCTGCCTGGAACACTCTTGCCCTCTGCTCAGATCTTACCTTCTCCTTGAGACCTACCTTGATCATCCTATTTAAAATTGTACCCTCAACCCCACACTCCAGAATTCCCTTGCCTTGCTCTAATTTTGTCTTTTTCTGCAGCACTTACCAGTTCTAACATACTGTGACTTACTGTGTCTATTGCTTATTATCTCTCTCCCCTCACTGGACGGTAAGCTCCATGAGAGCAAGACTCTTTGTTCTGGTCACTGGTGTATCTCAGAAACCTAGAATGGACTTGAGCATGCAGAAGGTGCCCAGTAAATATTTCTTGAAAAAGTGAATGATGATGGGCTAACATGAGATAGAAAATGGGTTACATACAATTTCCAGCAGGGAACGTGTAATTCATTGTTTGTTCTCCCATTGAGTATTAGCCTAGGGACAAGTACCTTCACTTTACACACGAGAAAATTCAGGCCCAGTGCCTGGAAGACTCAAGACTGAAAAGCCCAGTTTCTAGCCTCTGCCACAGGTACTCTCCCGACCCAACATTGTGGTGCTTCATGACGGCTGCAGTGTGTCTGTGCATGTGCACGTGTGTGTGTGTGTGCAAGTGTGTGTGGTCTGTTTGCCTTGCCCAAAGTGTTCATGGTTGGAGGACTGCGCAGATCTATAAGAGACTATTCCATATAAGAGGTGTGCTCAGACGAAATGCAGAATATACTCTTTCATACCCATCCTTCTTTTTTTTTTTCTGACCGGTAAGGGGATGGCAACCTTTGGCACGTTGCTGTCTGTACCACGCTCAGCCAGTGAGCGCACCGGCCATCCCTACATAGAATCCAAACCCGTGGCCTCAGTGCTACCAGCGCCACACTCTCCCGAGTGAGCCATGGGGCCAGCCCCATACCCATCCTTTTTCTACTTAGAAATAGGTGCCATGAGAAATCAACTTCCCCACCACTAGCACTGCCTGCCTGTGGGCACCATGCTCCTGTCCTCTGCCTTTCCTCCCTCTGCTACTGCAGAGGAATGTTCCATGCTCCTATCCAAAGCCAAATTCTACATGTATTTATCAAATCCCATTCCCTAAACAACTTTTCTCCAACAGTTTTTCCTCTCTACTAGATCATTCCAATCAACATGCAAACATCCACCAATATTAAAAATCAAACCCTCCCTAACCCTGACATACATGCCCCAGGTACTGCCCAGTTTCAGTTGGCCCCACAACAGGGCTCCTCAGGAGTTTATCGGCTTTCTTCACTCCCATTTCTCTCACTCTCTCATTAGTCCACTCCAATCAGGCTTCCTACAAAATCTGCCCCACCATAGTCTTCCCCATATTAATAAAAGGAACTCCATTTGTCCAGTTGCTCAGACCGAAAACCTTGAAATCATCCTTGACTTCTCTTGTCTGACTTCCCACAGCAAATCCTGCTGGCTCTACATTCAAAATAGATCCAAACTATGAAGTGCCTTTACCACTACCACCCTAGCCCAAGGCATCATCACCTCCCACCCAGCTTATTAGAGTGAGCTCCTAACAGTCTCCCTGTCTACCACTTCCTTGACCCCTGGGGTTTACACTTGACAGAGAAAGCCTCTGAGCAAAAAGTCTCTGGCTGCTATCGCTCCTTAGAGTAAAATCCGAAGTCCTCATACTGGCCTTCAGATCCCATGTGATGTGCCCTGAGTCCCTTTCAAACTTCACCCTCTACTACCATTCCCCTTGCAAATTCTGCTTCAGTCACAGTGGCTCTCTACCTGATCCTTGGACAGACCAAGCAGGCTCTGACCTCAAAGCTTTTGCAGCTCACTTTCTAGAATGTCCTCTGGATATCCAAATGGCTCATTCTGTTTCAGTTCTCTGCAGAAATGCTACCTTAGTAAAGAGGACTTCCCAACCACCCATGTAAAATCCTATCCCCCTTCCCATTTCTGCTATCCCTGGCCCACCCATTCTGATATCCCTATTTTTTACCCTTGCCCCTATTACCACTGACATATACATTTGTTATTTTCTCTTGCTATCTTCCCTGACCATAGTGTAAGCTCCATTAAACAAGGGAATCTTTGCTTTTTAACTTGTTTGCTTTTATTTTTTCTGCCTTCTGTTTCTTGGTTTTGCTTTTTGTTACACTGATAACCATAGAATAGTGCCTGTTACTATTTGAGGAACCCAAATATTTATGAAAAGGACAGTAACTACTGTTGTCATCCTTAGGAGACAGTCGAGAGGGTTCCATGAGATGATCCATCTTCCTGGATTAAGTTGTATTTTTTAGCAAACAAATCACCCCTGTCTTCCAAAGTAAAGGCAGCGTCTCTTCTGTGTTCTCTCCTGGGAAGGAACACACACTCCACCCAAGGTGTCCAACACATAGTAGGCACTCAACAAACACTGGTGGCTATTAATAGCATCCAAAAGAGGGTACAGCTATGACAAAGGTAAGGATCCCATCTCTAGCCTTTCTGTTTAATCAGAACATCTTATATTCTAATCTCTCCCCGCAGGAATGAGAGCAGTGAGGGCTACAGAAATTACAGGCAAGTAACACAAACTCTTCCACTTTAAATGCTTAACAAAACCATTCATAAAGCTCTTTCGGGCTCAATAAGAGAGTCTTTAAGTTAAATATTTTTGGCTCTTCTCTAAACTAAATGAAAAGATCTTCTATAAGCTTTGAAATCTTAAAAGCAATTACCTCCACCAAGTTGTGGATTTTGCAGCCATCTTCTTGGATTAACTTGTATTTTTTAGCAAACAAATCACCATTGTCCTCCAAAGTAAAGGCAGCATCTCTTCTGTGCTCTCTCCTGGGGAAGAGCGTACAGTCTGCCCAAGCCCTCATGGTCTGCTGGATCACTTCCACGTTGTTCTGTGTATGCTCAACTCTGTGCTCCAGCTCAGAGGTGGCCATTTTCACCCTCTCGATGTACCCCCAGCAGTCGTCCTGCCAGGTGAGCCACGTTGCAGCGGCTTCCAGCTGCTCATCAAGAGCCCTCAGCTCATCTTCAATCAGAGGGTATTCAACTTCCAGAAGAGTCTGTTTCAGCTTATTATAACCTTGCACAAGAATTTCAAGATTTCCAATGTACTGAGCAAAGAAAACCCCAAGACAAAAAAAAATTGCCAAATAGGTTAGCTCTTTTCTCTATCTCAGAGGCGTAAAAATGTCATAGGTTTATTACATTAATAATGAAAATTCAAGATATTTCTATTCAAAATATGCCCTAATATCTAAAAACACGAACCTTTAAGATAGTGTTTCTTTTTTGGAAGATGGCTAAGGCTGAATCTGGTATGTCTGGTTTCTTCAACATCAAAAGGTATTTTACTTCTCGCAACACAGCTACAAGCTATTAAAAGAAAATCATGGATTATTATATATTTTAAGAAGATAATTCTATTTTAACACAAGTTTAACTCAAAACACTTAAAATTTCATATGATTACTATATTTCCAGACTATGAAGGTACATAGGCTTTTGTTTCATATGCTTTTTAAAAACAAAAATCATACATTCCATAATATAGTACTGGTATATGAACTATCTCAAAATATTTTCAGGAAATTAGTTTCTATAAATTGGTTTTATGAAATCAGAAGGTAGAGGGATCCCTCAGTTGTCCAGATCATATATTTACATATGTGTGCTGAGTTTCACTAGCAAAATAAAGACATGCTATTCTTTGTATATATCTTAGGAAATGTAATAAGGGTGCAGAGTATAACCATCAAACTCAGTGAGTTTAACTTTGTCACTTCCTAGACTTGAATTTGGACTGAATGAAAAGCTGGGTCATCACTAATAGTGAATATATAATCCTTACTACCTAAAAATTCAGCCAAATGTTTAAGCTACTTTTTTTTTTGTCACATAAACTCACAAATAGATAATTTTATAAGCTTGCCCTTTACTTAAAGCATATCCATAGTAGGTGGATGTGCTTTAACAGAAAAAAAGCTTACTTTCTTATCTAGCAAGCTACCAGACTTGGAAAAGTTTGTTTAAAATATATGTACGTATACATACACACGTGCATATATACACACGACTAATATTTTATAATATCTGCACATATTGTATTATACAACTGTATACATATACACAATTGCTAATAAAGTTTCTGTACTTTCATTGTTACATAACATGTAATGAAATTATGAGAAAATAAATTTATTGAGAAAACATATAAAATTTCCCTTTCTTATATGATTTATCATGGGGTAACAAAAGGTCTGTTAAATAAAGGTAATATTCACCCTGGATATTATGTAACTGTTAATATTATTTTTGGTATGAATATGTTGTTTTACGTTTTTCATAAAAATTATTTTTAAAAAATCCTATCACTTTAATTACCATATACAAGCTTATCATCCCTTTGAAAGAAATTACAACAAATCAAAATTAACCGTTGTCCATCAAAAGCATGACACATCTTCATTCCATATATTCTATGGATTCCCCAAACCTTAACTTAAGTGATAAAACTTTAACTAAAAAACTGATACATGTTATGAATATATTCAAGCCACAAACCATCTTGTAAAGCTAATGATACAATTCAACTGAGCTAACATTTACCAAGTGTTACCAAGTGCCAGGTGCTATGCTAGAAACACAGAACACAAAGATAAAATAAAATGAACCCTACCCTCAGTAGCTTATTATCTAGTGAGAGTGAGGTCATGAAGAAATAATTACAAGAAGAAAACAAATAATTAATACAGAATTTGGGAAATAAAACAAAGGTCTACTAGAAGTTGTTTACAGTTATATTTCTCACAGCACTGACATTTTCCCAAAATAAAACAAATTACTAGAAGTATTAGGAATACACTTATAATAAAAATGACATCTATAAAACATCTCAAAAAGCCAAATCCCTACCTTTGGGTCAAAGTTGACACTGAGAAGACCATTTATGGCACTGAATTTAACTAAGGGTTGATTCAAATTGAACTCACAGATTTCATCCACATTACTTTTCCACTCATTATAGACACGATTTTCAAATTGGTCTAGCAAAGTGGTCATTTCAATAAATTTCTGATAAACTAAGGCATCATCAGGGTTGTCCAAGAATCTGTAGGAATAAGGTTTTTTTCTACTTGTGTATACATTAGATAGGTTTCAGCTTAATTATCTTATAATAATACACCATATAAAATACATAATATAAAGTATAATACTCTATAAGCAATCAGGAAGAGAAACATTAAAGACCAAGTAATGTTCATGGATTGTTTTTACTTTAAAAGACAGATAAAGAAAAAGAAGACACAATGATCACAATTCCTTGAACTTAAGACAAGTGAACAGATATGATGTTGATGGGGGAGGGGGGAAAAGGAGGAATTGGTAAAGGGACACAACAATCAACTACATTGTACATTGATAAATTAAAATAAATAAAAATAAATGTGAATAAATAAGTAAATAAAAGACAGATAAAGTTACAAAATAAATGAAACTTAAAAGATTTAACAGCAACAAGTTTTGACAGCAACAAGTTACCAATTCCTATGAAGGAAAAAAAAAAGGCACAGAGCACAGCATAACAAAAGAAATGTTAGTTTTTGGAGAAATGAAAAATAGTAACAAAAAACTCCAAATATATTGTGGGTGAAAAGGAAAAGTAAAAAGAAAAAAATGACCTGAAAACATGTAAATATATGAAATTGTAAGAGTCCCATTAAAAATATTCCAAAACCATGGGATGGGCCTCTCAAGAAATCCAGCCAAGGAAAAAGGTGAAATAAGGCAATGACATTTTATGTGCTATGAACAGTTCACTGCCACATATAAAAATCACCCATAACATTAGGATAATTTACCATGAAATAAACCTAACTACTTACAGAGAATGGAGAGATGCAAAGTTTGACCAAAACATCTGCAGTCGTTCAAGGACCTCTTTGGCCCATTTGATATTTCCTGCAGTAAATGGCATATTCTTGTTAAGAACTGCATGTCCATGTTCAATCTGCAGGTTGACATTTTGGTGAAGAGGAAGAAAGAGAACATTTAATAAGAGTGCCTTCAAACCTTGTAAGCAATTGTTCATTTTGGTACTTTCACAAGTAAGTACATAAGGTATGTGTGTTAATAACTTGATTAGCAGAAGAGCAGAACCCTAAAGCAGGCTGTCCATCTCCATGAGGAAGCCAATTAAAGCATAAAAATGTTAGTGCCTGTATCTAATCTTTAGGCATAATCAAATATAGTTCTAGCAGATGGCTATTACCTGCAAAAATGATACTGTGGATGTGCTCAACCTTACCCACCACTTACCTGTTTCATGTGTTCATTATACAATTGCTTACACATATCCAACTCTGTATTAAACATATGCACTAGTGTGCTGTAATGTGGGCTGAAAATTTCCATGACAACTGGTTTCTCTAGAAAATTCCCAAATACGGTCAAAAGCTATAAAAAAATCAAATCGAAGAAAATCAAGGTAAAGTTCAGAACTATGAGTTTCTAACACAAAAACACTCACAATTTCCCCCATTAAACCTCATATACCTCTAGATAGAGGAAAAGTCTGGAACCCTAAAAGTATACTGCAATGCCTCAGAATGTAAAACATATTTTTTGCATCTCCCTAAAATTTCTATACACCTCAAAAACTAAATTCTAGATGTAATTTCGAGAGGGGTCAGAAATGAACCACTGTCTGACAGCAATCCCTGCTCACAGCTAATACTACTTCTTGCTGGGCTCCAAAGAATGTTTTAAAGATGTTTTCAGACATAACAATAGAAGCAAGATTTATGTACTTGGTATTTGTTCTTTCCTCCTATCTATGTATCCTTTAGATATAAGAATATCCATATCCATATGGAGGACTTCTAGGTCAGACCATCAATAATTATATCATATGTCCCATCACAGTGGCTGCCTGTCATTGGCCCCTGGTGCATCCACACACCCCAGCCACCCCAACAATGGTATGGGTCAGCAGTGCTGACTGTCCAAGGACAACCACTCCACAGGTGGACAGCTCCTTTGATATGAATGTTCTGGCTCAAACTGATGTCTTCAGCTAATCAGATTCTTCCTTTCTCAGAGAGTCAAGGCATGACTGGCTGAATCCACGATGACTAAAATTATGAATAGAAACTACTAGCAAGCAAAGGAAGCCAACTAATAGTGGACAAAAGAAAGCAGACACGTGGTCTCAACAGGATCACATTACCAGCAAAACAGAAGACTGGAGGTCCACAAACTCCTCTTGCTCAGTCAGTGGAGCCCCCTAGACTTCAAACTAACCTTCACCACCAGACTCCACAAAGCTTAGCTATCTAGTGAGCCTAACCTTGGATTCCCATTAGCTTCCTGTCTTGTTTACTGCCATACGTAGATTCTTCCATGCACCAGCAAGAGACAGCTTTCCTCGAAAGCAAAATGATGTAATTAAAATGTATATTTTTGTATAACCAATGTTTAAATAGTACTATCCAGGCACTGTATGTTAAGGGCCTTAAAAATGCTGTTATTATCACATGCTCCAGATGAGAAAACTGAGTTACAGAGAGGGAGTAACTTGTCCAAATTCATACAACTAGTGGTACAGCTGGGATTTGAAACTGGGCAATGTGGCATCTGGGTCTGTGCTTCACTGTACAGCTTCTTATCAGCTAACGTGCCATGGAAAGTTACGTTATTTTGATTACTCCATGTGGGTTTCATAATATGTTAGTTATTAGGCCTGTTATATAGATATTTTCTCTAAAAGAAGACATCTCCTCAAAATAACTAAACATTTAAGGTGGCAGAAAAACTATATACCAAGGCTTATGCCTTGTTAGCAATATGGCAAAAGATAGAGATTTGTTCTTTTTCTTAGAGAATAGGTGTCTCCCAGAAATTGTTTTACTACCAAAAAAAATCATCATTACAAAAATTTGGTAAGCATTTTAATAAATTATATTCATTGAGGAAAAAACATAAAAAATTATACAAACTAAAATGTAAATTAACTATCTTGGGGGCCAAATTAGACAAATGCCTTCTGGCTTTTTCTAGTAACATCAATTACAAGTACAACAGAGTCTGTTAAATATTTTTAAATCCACTTGGTTAGCTGCTAACTAGGCAAAATGTAAATTATTAACTTTCTTTTCATAGACACTGTTTTGTTGAGTTTGGGCTTCATGTAAACATTCAAAAGTAAACACCGCCTCATAGACTTAATTGCATTCCATGTACTTCAACAATTAGGAAATACATTGATTTCCCGTTACTTTTCAAACACTTATTATACTGACCACAACTGAAATAATACCAGAAGCTCCCCGGCTATTGCTCATCTTGCCCACCTTCTTAATTCCAAGGGTAGAAGACAAAAAACATAGACAAAATATTCTTTGGGGAGGTCGTAAAGCCAAAAAGTAGTAAGAAAAGTCTCAACCATTTAGGCAGTGCACATTATCATAATTATTCATCATCATGAATACATAAAATTATCCTCCAGGATGAGAATAAAGGTTATCTGAACCTCCTGAGTCTTGTCATAGTAGAACTAGGAGCTATTCTACAAAGTTCATAGACATTTCCCTTCACACAGACCTCAAAAAGCTAAAGATTGATTCCCACTATATGCTTCTATACCTAAATATTCCAAATTAAGATCTGTAAGGTTAACCTTAATTTTATTTTACTTCTCAGTTTCATTAGGTAATACACAGTTTTTCATAACTCTGTTGTCACTGTTCAAAGTAGTACATATTTATATTTATCCTAGGTTTACCTCTTTGAAAGATTTTTTTTTTTAATTTGCGACCACCTTAACCATATACACTTCAGAATTTTATAGCTTTCAAATTGTCTGAGTCTTTTTCTAGACACTTCTTTTTCTTAACACCCTTCAGTCTACCTTCATGTGAATTTCAGAGTCATTCATGAGCATTTTGTTTGGGTTTTTAGTGAGTGCCAGCACTCTACGTTTTGAGGTACTATGGTTTTATACCTGAGTAGAATAGTGTTTAAGTTCCAGTGCTCTTCCTGGCTACATCTTTGACAGTAACAGGCATCAAATAGTCATCCTCACAGAACAGTCTACAAATATTTCTTCCCTGAGACCAACAGTAAATGGTCAGAGTTCATCAACCTGTATCTACGATTGAAATCATTTTTTTCCCTAAGTATACAACCCTATAATTTTTCTTCTGCCATTACTCTTCCAGTATTTGATCCTCATCAGTGTATCATTTCAACATTCAAATTACCAGTCAGTCCATCTCACCTCAAAGCAGTTATTAAATGCCTGCTTCGTATGGCACCGCAGAAAGCAACCTAAACATAACAAAAGCTATGAGATGATGCTCCCACTTTGCAGAAGTTATGAGAGCGGGGTCTCATCTCACAGTTTTTCAGCCGACAAGAAACAAGTATATGGAAAATGAAAGAAAGAAATACATGACAATAAGGTAAGATATAAAATTGTTTAGAAAAAAATAACTGGCGTGTACTATAATAGAGTCCATATTAATGGCTATGATGAGGGCAAGAAGACAGACTTGAATTAAAAACAGCTTGATGGGGCTGGCCCGGTGGCGCACTGGATAGTGCGCCGCTTGGGAAGCGCGGCGGCCCTCCCGTCCGAGGGTTCGGATCCCACGTACAGACCGGCTCCTGCTCACTGGCTGAGCGAGGCGCGGGAGCAACGCTCCAGTGAGCGAGGCGCGGGAGCAACGCTGAGGCTTGCGATCCCGTCGCCGGTCCCC